GCATGCTGTGCTGGCATCAGCTTCTGGTGAGGACCTCAGGAGATTTATAGTCATGGTGGGAGGGAAAAGAGGAGCAGACATCTCACATGGCAAGAGCGGGAGTAAGAGAGAGAGGGTGGTAGGTGCCACACACTTTTAAACAAGCAGAAATCCAATTGATTTGGGAGTGTTGATTTTGTATTCTGCAAATTTGCCAGATTTGTTTATTAGTTGTTGTTTTTTTTCCCACAGAACCATCAAGTCCAATGTTTATTAGTTTTAGCAGCTTTTTTTAATGGACTCTTATAAGGTTTTCTATATATAAAATCATTTCATCTGTTAAAAGAGGTGTTTTTACTTCTTCCTTTCCAATTTCTGTGCCATATATTTCTTTTTCTTGCTTAATTGCTCTGGCTAGGAGTTCCAGGACCATGCTGAAAAGAAGTGTTGAAAGCAGGCATCTTTTCCTTATTCCCAATTACAGGGGAAAACCTTTCAGTTTTCACCAATGATTCTAATGTCAGCTGTGCACCCTTCATTATTAAACTTTCCTGGAACAGCCTCGTTTGGGAGTGTCATCTGTTTCCTGACGGCCCCTGAAAGAGATGCCTGTAAAATGTGTAAATAAGCAGGATACCAGGACAGGTTGTATAAATGCTTATTCCAGAGTGTGCAGAAATAATTTTCATGACCAGCTCTGGGCTTGATGCTGCCCGTGAGTTTGTGCCAATTGTGCTGATCAGAATAAATTTGTTCAAAACAACTTTATTTTTCCAGATGGTCAGAATTTTAAGCAGTAGATAAAAGTGGTCTTGCATTGTTAGCCTCTTGTATAAATGTATACATTATTAATGTACAAATATATACACTTTCTTTTGGAAAGGTTTTTTGATTTTTAGCACTTTGGTGCTTAATTGTTCACAGTGCTTAGGCAGCATCAAATGAAAAAGTTAATACCGTGAGGCAACAACTCTTTCTTTCTCCTTTCCTTTCCTTTCCTTTCCTTTCCTTTCCTTTCCTTTCCTTTCCTTTCCTTTCCTTTCCTTTCCTTTCCTTTCCTTCCTTTTTCTTTTCTTTTCTTTTTCTCCCTCTGTCACTCAGGATGGAGTGCCGGGGTATGATCTTGGCTCACTTGCAGCCTCAGCCTTCCAGGTTCAAGTTATCCTCCTGCCTCAGCCTCCTGAGTGGCTGGAACCACATGCACACACCATCATGATCAGCTATTTTGTATTTTTAGTAGAGATGGGATTTTTTTTTTTTTTTTTGAGACGGAGTTTCGCTCTTATTACCCAGGCTGGAGTG